TATGTTTTAAAATTAGACACTTATCAGAGTCAAAGACTTTTATCAAAGTGTTTAAATATTAGTTCAAATAAACCTATGAACTTTGAACCCCAGGAATATGGATACCAACTTTATGTAAAGCATTTTTAGTTATTTGCTTACTATATCAGTGCAATGATTCTATGGTTTAATTTTTGAGAAATAAAATCATTATTTCAAAAATTAAATTATAAAAATTATTATGATGCATGGTAAATTGTATTTACTTTCAAAAGGTTTCTTTCTGCATTTATAAGTTCGAGAGCAATTAAATACAAATATTTTTGCACATCAAAATATATTTTAAGCATTTCTTTAAACATGTCATGTCAAATTAGTATCTACGTGATATTAAATTTTATATTATAATATAATATTTTTGAAAAAATTATTACACATATATTGAGTCCCTGGTATTTAATTATACTTAAAACAATACAATATTACAATTTATTTACGGAATATTACGCTCGAATATTACTTAAGGGATTGTAATTTCAAGTGATCTTCCATTGAAAGTGGGGCATCCATGATTCACAAAGGTACCCTTTGAACCTTTGACTGATCAAGGATGACCGACTTGTAATTGTTCAACACTTTATTTGATTGCTATTTCGTAATTAAGCTGTATTGTAATTAAGCTGTATTGTAATCAAGCTGTTTTGTACTTAAGCTGTTTCGTAATTAAGTTGTATTGTAATTAAGCTGTTTACAACGGTTCCCTTTAAAGCTTTTTCTAATCAGGCATGATGAAGATGATATTATTTTTTTAATCTTGAAAAATGATCAATTTCAATTGCGGGTTCTCTTTAACAAAAGTGTATTGCGCATTTCTATTGCAGTAAATTACGTTTACAGTTCCTTCAAGTTGATCAATCATGCAGCGTCATGAAAATCGATCATAAATTTGAAAAAATAAACTTTAAAATCAGGAACTTGTTACTAAAGTTCAATATAATTTCGAAAAAAAAATTAAATAAGTTTGTTAAAATATTTACCATGAAAGCTGTATATCATAAAAAAATTTTAAATAAATTAATTATTCAAGTTGACTAAATATTAAATCATGGATTTAGGAACCACATTCTGAATTCGAATTCACAATATGTTAGAAAATAAAACCTAAAAACTTCCTAACAAAAATAAAAAGTATGGGTGTGTTCAATAAAATAGTGGACAAATTTTTTACAAAAATCACAATATGTTCGGTGGGATTCAGACTTAAATAAGGCTTAGCTCGTAATACATTGGTTTTGAACGGAAGAAAATTGAGCGAAATAAATCTTTATTTTTATCTCAATATTTCATCCTTGAAGAAAGAAGAGACAAATATTTTTAAAAAAATTATAAATGACATGAAATAGAAAATATCATGTTCAGAGTTTTTTATTGGAAGTAGGAAGTTTTAGGGCCCAGGATATTTAACTCAGGTGATTTCAGGGCCCAGGATATTTATCTCAGGTGGTTTCAGGTCCCATGATATTTAGCTCAGGTAATTTTAGGGCCCAGGATATTCAGGTCAGGTGATTTTAGGGCCCGGGATATTCAGCTCAGGTGATTTTAGGGGCCGGGATATTCAGCTCAGGTGATTTCAGGGCTCAAGATATTTGGCTTCAGTGGATTCAGAGCCCAAGATCTTTAGCTCAGGTGGTTTCATGGTTCAGGATATTCTCTTCAAGGGGTTTCAGGGCCCAGAATATTTTGCTCAGGTGGTTTCAGGGCCCAGGATATTTAACTCAGATGGTTTCAGGGCCCAGGATATTTAACTCAGGTGGTTTCAGGGCCCAGGATATTTAACTCAGGTAATTTTAGGGCCCAGGATATTCAGCTCAGGTGATTTTAGGGCCCGGGATAATCAGCTCAGGTGATTTTAGGGGCCGGGATATTCAGCTCAGGTGATTTCAGGGCTCAAGATATTTAGCTTCAGTGGATTCAGAGCCCAAGATCTTTAGCTCAGGTGGTTTCATGGTTCAGGATATTCTCTTCAAGGGGTTTCAGGGCCCAGAATATTTTGCTCAGGTGGTTATTTAGGATATTTATTTTAGAGGGTTTCCGGGCCTAATGATATTCCACTCAGGGGGATTCAGGTCCTTAACTTCAGGACCATCTATATTCATTCTAGGTGGTTCCAGGTTCAATATATTGTACTCCGATGGTTTCAGGGCCCAGAGCCGGCGATTTAAAAAATTCAAGAAAATACGACTCGGGTCTAAGCTGTTGTTGAGCCTTATTTACGGCTCGGGCTTTCGATGAAAACTCTATTCCTTTCAACTTTGCCAATACTTAGAAAACATTGGGTCTACTTCATGAATGTATACTATATATTATATCAAGACTGGTTGCTTTTTATTGTTTTTTTTAGAACTTTATTAATCGAAATCTAAATTTTTCGAAAAAAATTAGTTCCTTTATTTCCTTTTGGTGAGAGGTCCGACCAAAAAGAGGTTTAATCTATTCAGCCATTTTAATGTTAATGAATGCAAAATATACATTTGTTATATATTTACAGCGCTTATGAACCCAGTTTTGCCTGGAATCTAAACTTTCACTTTTTAAGTCATTTTACTTAAACTAGAATTTTAAAGCCTAACTAAGAATATTCCAGTAGTTCTACCGAGTTCCTCATTTAAAATTTGAGGCCAATCTGTCAAGGGGTTCATGAGTTCTGACCGGACATACAAAAAAACAAAGATTACTATTTTAAATGAATAGATGTATCTACAATGTATTTACAGAAAATTATGATATATTTCATCTAAAGAGTGGATATCAACTTAAGGATATAAAAAAAAGTAACTAACCACTAGAGATGGGCATCGTTTTTGTGAACGAACATTTTTTTTGAGAACGAACGAAATTTTTTCTTGGACGATGATGTTGTACAGAAAAAAATTAACGATGGACGTCTTCAATCATTTAGCAAAATGAAAAAAACGAGCAAAAAAAACATATGATTTAAAATCGTTTGAACGAACTTAAAAAGTCAAAAAAAAACATCATTTTTTACTGAAAACAAAATAGTTGGAAAATGAACGATAATTTTCAGCATAAACGATATCAATTTTTTTGAACAATTAAAAAAAGACTAACGAAATGGTTTGTTCACGAACGATGAACAAGTAAAATAAAGAAAACGAACAGACCAATCTCTACTAACCAGTATATAACGCTTTAAAGAATAAATATATGCATAAGTTATGATGTATATATTGTATGTGAAGAGTATAATAACCAGTATATAACGCTTTAATTTGTTTGTTTGTATCCAATAAACGTCGAAACGGCTGAACCGATCGGGCCCAAATTTTTTGTGGGACATCTAGGGATCCCAGGGAAGGTTTATGAATGATCAAAATTTCAAATATTTGTCTCCATCAAAATTCGATCTTCATTAAATTTTTGAAAATTTGAAAATCCACGAAATTTTTTGTGAAAATCCGCGAATTATTTTAGTTTTGTTTTACGATGTACACAAAGAGAACATGTTCACAATTAATTAAGAAGATGGGCGCGAAGCGCCCTCTAAGGCTAGTAAATATATAAAAGTTATGATGTATAAATTGTATGTAAAGAGTATAATAACCAGTATATAAAGATATATATAAATATATATATAAGTTTGATGTATATATTGTATGTAAAGAGTATAATAACCAGTATATAAAGATGTATATAAATATATGTATAAGTTACGATGTGTTTATTGTATATAAAGAGTATAATAACCAGTATATCAAGATGTATATAAGTTATGATGTGTATATTGTATGTAAAGAGTATAAAATATTAGGTTTAATGGTTTATATATTCTACATTATTGAACACAAAATAACAAGCAAAAATTGTATTCCAGCGAAGCAGTTATTTTTAAAGTTAGAACTAGAAAAGCAAATTTAACTTTTAAACAGAATTCTAAACTACATCAAATAAGTTAAAGAATATCAATCTTTTTCAGAGAAACGATGCAATACAAGTTGAAGAGATTGAAGAACAGAGCTACATATTATATATATAGTAGACAACTGCAAACAGACTTTGAAATATTGGAAACACAAAGAGACTTTAATTGTTTTTTTTTCAACACTTCCCTTCACCTACAGGGTGTCCCAATATAAACATTGGAATTCAGAGACGACTAGGAAATCGTCTTTGAATCCCTGTAGTTGATGAAAGGACAAAGAGTGCATCAAAATAAAGACCGTAACATCTTCTAAGTTTTCAAAAATATCTTCTGAATTGCCGGAGATATTAAACATCCATTAAATTGAAAGATTTTCTTATTATTTGGAATTCTCAATACCAATAGATTAGATTGTAATACTACAATAATTGTGTTCACGTAATAATGCCACACGTAATAACAAAGACGATATAGAAGTTGTCACTTGATTCCCATTTTTATTGAGACACCCTGTAATAATTTTTCTGAACAATGATTAAGATAACTTTTTAACGTGAAGGTTTGTCTTTTTCCAAAAAAATATTCATAAAACACTAGAATGAACAAAATTGAGAATTTGAGATATAAAACTTGTATAATGCTTATTACAAGAAATAAGGCAAAAAAGTTAAATAAAATTCACTGAAGTTTTTCTGACATTTTTCTTATAGATTTAAAGTTACTAAATACTTGCCACAAATTCTTAATTTCTAATCCCAATAATTATTTCTTAAACATATGTCTACGACATTAGGTTTAAAAAATATCGAAAAAAAACTATGGAATTCGTTGTCATCTAAAATTTATGAGAGATTTGAAAATTTATATTAATGTCGCCTGATAAATATATATATCCCTAAATCAATATTATTATGTTCAAGATGCTATGTTCAAGATACTAATTTGATAACCTAAAAACTTTTCTAATTACAATAACAAAATATTTTTTTAAATCAAAGTTTACTTAATCATGTTTTTTTAAATCATCTTTTTAAACATTTTTAAAATTTTTTTTTATTTTTAAGCTGGACTAATAAGTTGTATTTTTGTTATCTTTTGTATATGATTAATGTTTATCTTTGAATTTGTTCAGTTCGCCTAGAACCTCACTAGCTATGAAAACAATTGTAAGTAAAAAATAATTTCCACGTTTTAAGTTTTCTTTTTAGCTCCTCAGTTCTAAATATTTAAAAACTTATTTTGCAAAAATATGCTTTATTAAAACCCCCCTTGTCCTTTGATCTAAACAGTTTGATCCAAAAGTTTATAAGTTGTGAGTTCATCGTCAAATTTTTTTAACAATTCACCGCCAATTATTTTTGAAGAATTTTTGAGAAATTTATCCACCCTCCGTTTTCAAATGAATTGAATTTTTGCAACAAACTCTGATTTTTTATATCATTGCAACCCAATGTTGTAGAATGTTGCAAAAATTCAAGTATTATGAAATTTGAGTTTGTGACAAAAACTCAATTTCTTTATTAAAATTTTAAAGGAATAAATCAATGTTCATGTTTATTGAGAAAAGTTTCCAAAACCATCGATTTAAAGTATCTTTTATTTTTGAAGAATTTAGGGAAAATATGTCTAAAAAATACTATTTCCTTTTTATTACACTGCAAAGCTTTCAACACATTTCTCTGTTATTTTCAAAACTAATTTCTAACTAAATCTTTTTTTACATTGTATCAATATTTCTCAGTGTGTTTTGCTCCTCGGAGCGATCCTAGCTGTAGAGGCTAACTACAGGAATGTCAAGTTCTCTGACCCTCACCAGGAGTTCAAGGACTTCAAGATCAAGTTTGGAAAATCCTACAAGAGCTGGGATGAGGAGACGGAAAGGTTTTCTGCTTTCCAGGTAATAACATTGATAAAAATGTCAGATGCCAAGAAGTGGTTTTGCTATCACTATCTCACACAAATGCAAATTGTTTATGCATTATGCATATCTGCTATATTTGTTCTCATAGTATCCCATGTTTTACTTATATCTGTTTTTATTTCAAGAAAAAGTTGGAATGATTACCATAACCATAACCAATTGTGTTTAGGACAATCTGAAAAAAATTGAGAAGCATAACAGTGAGAACCGTTCCTGGATCATGGGAATAACCAAGTTTGCAGATCTGACCAGGTAAATCAAATATTTGTGCAAGGCAAATCTCGAAACACTGATTTAAATTTCAAGATGTACAAACCCTGTTTGAACCACGCCTAGATGTGGTTGAATTTCTTTAAGCACGCATAGTTTGTCATGGGTTAATATTTAATAAAAAGTAATTCCTTTGGAATCTTAACAATTGCATTTAAACTGAATTAGGCATAAGTTAGTAAAGCACCAGAAAAAAAAACCACATTTTCCATAAAATAAAGGCAGTTAGGTGAATGACTAGATACTGAAGTTGAATAATAGCAATATGTTCATTAGGGATGAGTTTATCCAGACCCACCTTCAAGGGTACAAACCCCTTGGTGTTGCCAAACCCTCTGTTGCAAGGAAGAACAACATCAACATTGCTGATCTTCCTGAATCTGTTGATTGGAGAGAGAAGGGTGTTGTTACACCAGTCAGGGATCAGGTAAATAATAATGTCTATCTATGTATCTGGACCAACAGTTCACCTAGATAGTTTGAGATTGAGGTTGGATTTGAATACTATTTGAGTCATTTTAAGAACTTTTTGACATCAATTACCCCACAAGCATGGCATGAGACAGAATTGACCTTTAAGCATCAGGATTATCTCCAGATTTCACCTAAAGAATTGACCAGGTTCAAACACTGATTTGCATCACATGTGACCATATTAGTTTAATCAAAACGTAATGAAACTTTTGTTGTTGCATTCATTAAACACAAAATCTTCATCAGGGTATGTGCGGATCTTGCTGGGCATTTTCCTCTGCCTCCTTGATTTCCTCCTATGCTAAGATCAATGATATGTCCCATGATCTGGTTGAGGTTTCCCCTCAGCACCTTGTCAGGTACAGGGTGTCCCACGAAACATGACAATAGGAAGACGACTAGAAAGACGTCTTTGATATTTGAATTTATTTGTGACATTTAGTCTTCTATCTACTTTAACATGTATGATTCTTGATACAATTATCACATAATTCTCCTAGCCCTGGCATTTCCAAAAAGTGGTCTGCGTTTTTTGTGCTTTCAATATTACCGGAGATATAAAGAGTTTAGTTCAGATTTCAATTTTGTTAAATAAAAGCAAAATTGTCGAAATCTGATCGAAATTCTTCATATCTCGGGCAATATTGAAAGCACAAAAAAGGCAGACCACATTTTGGAAATAGCAGGACAAGGGAAATTTTTTGATTATTATCTCTAGAAATTTACTTCTAAAATTAGATTGACAAATAAACGCAGCAAATTATATCAAAAATCAAGACGACATTCAAGTCGTCCTGCATACTGTCATGTTTCGTGGGACACCCTGTATATTCTAGGAAACAACTTGATACAGTATAACAATGATAATCATCCAAAAAACATTCTAGTTGTGCACCCAACCCCTTGAAATGCGGTGGAACTGGGGGATGCATGGGCTCTGTTGAACCCCTTGCATTTACCTATGCATCTCTTTTTGGAGTTGTCACAGAAGAGGAATACCCCTACACAAGGTAAATCCTTAAATTTTCTAAATCTGAAAAGTCTTGCTCAATCATTTCTTATTGAACAGTGGAGATCCATGGGGAGCAGGAGATGATGAAATTTGCAAGTTTGATGCCACCAAGACTGATGTTACAGCAATGACCATGGGATTTGAAACTCTTCCCCATAATGATATGGAAGCAGCCATGGAACATCTTGCTAATGTTGGTGAGTTAAAGGATTCACCTGTGGCAAAGAATTTTTTTTGCCAGCCTTTGTATGTTTCAAGAGTGTTTTTGTCTGATTAACTCCTTATGTAGGACCACTGTCTTCTGCTGTTGCTGCCTCTGACTGGGGTCTTTACTTTGGCGGAGTTTTTGATGGCTGCCCATATGATGAAAACATTGAAGTCAACCACGCTGGTAAGATTTTTTTAAAAGAGAAGTAGAATTTAACATGAAACTGACATATTTATTTGACTTATTTCTTATAGTTGCCCTGATTGGTTATGGAACCGACCCTGCTGAAGGAGACTACTGGCTTATTAAGAACTCCTGGGGTGATATGTGGGGAGATGGATTTATGGAGGGAGCCGGAGGATTTATTAAGCTCAAGAGGTATTCATGAAGATTTAAAGTAAGGCTGGTTGAAAGGTCTATCTTTTATATATCATTTTCTACGGATAACCCATTATTACCTAAGATTCTTCTTAGGCCTGAGAATATAGAGTGCAGGAATCCTTCTTATATACTGGAATGAGGCCCGGGTGCCATACTGATAGGAAACATCACACTCATTTCTCCCTAACATCTGTAAGCCCGGATTGGATACCCCCAGGTACCTATAGCTGGCAACCATAGACTCTCCCTGCTTGTCCACCATTCCTCTCTTCATCATCATTCACTTGGATCAATCAAGAGCTTTACTATTTACATAAAATATAAATTGAAGATACACTTTTTTCTAAGACATGCCATGAAAAGAACTAGATCTGAAATGATGATGAAATTATGCTAGTTAAGTTTAATATCTGTGAATAATACTTGTCTTTCTTAAAAATGCTGATTCCACCCTTTCAGTTGACATAATAATTGTCAGCTGGCTGGGTTGTTTTACATTTCTCAACATTTTCTGACATTCACACTTCATTGCATGATTAAGATACTTAGAACATAATGCAATTTCAAGTATGAACATGTGAAACAACTGCTGAATGTTATCAAATTTACTTCTAGAAGTGATAACTTAAAAACTTAAAAAACTCAATGCACATCTTTTAACCTTGTGACCAGAGGGATAAATAAAAGGGCTACAACCTCAAGTTTTCAAAATTAAGAAAAACCCATCTTATTTTCCTCCCGAGCTGCAGTGGTTGGATTGGACCCTCTTAAAATTTTACGGAATTTGTCATCTTTTCAATATGTCCCATCCAGGATTATTTTCTGGAATTTTGATCCAACATGATACAACATTTGTCTCATTCATTCATCGTCAGGCTAAAACTTACAGTTGGGGTAGCGCTAAGCCACCACAATATCCACAGTAAACCATTTGAATTAAAGGATATAGTTTGATATAAGATGGATAAGGACTGATAATAAAAAAATTTACACAGTCTGTCTGTCTGATACTTTCAATTACAGAACCAGGAAAATCACATAAGTCCTATCCTGCATGCTCCAAACCGTTATGAGGATTTACCGCTCTGGTGTAATTGTATACTGCTTACATATTTAGTCGTACCAGCCCGTCTAGTTAACCCAATGTTCAGATGACCCAGCGTGTTTTATGCAACAAGTTTAAGCTGGATGGGTGCATGTAAAAGGGGAACAAGAGACTTTTGGTGGCTTAATTTTGTGGTTTTGAAAAAGTATCATAATTTGCTCTGTTTACAGGAACTCAAGCCCCATGTGCGGAACTAACAACACCCCTCTAAGTGGAAACGGATGTGTTGATGGTGGCGTTACCTCCCAACATGTTTGTGGAACTTGTGCAGTTCTCTTCGACAACAGTTATCCTATTGGAACAACTTATATGAAATAAACATCATATTCTATATGATTTACAATAAAAAAAAAACTTTTATTTTCCATCTTATTTCATTTCTGTTAAAATATTGTTTATAATTTGTAAAGCAAAAAGTAAAAAATGGCATAAAGTAGGGGGGGGGGGACACTTGAAAATATTATTTTTAAAAGAGATTTTTTTGTCCCCAGGACATGATTGGGTTGTTACGATCAAATCTCGGAATTTTTTCTTTTGGGTAGATTTGGTGTTGTATTGGTTTTTAGTGACCTACCAAGGGTTGTAATCTGGCAGCACATTTATACATCCATTCTTCATTCATACTGAGAAGAGGGCTGACAAGAATCCAGCTACCTAAGATTCTTCTTAGGCCTGAGAATATAGAGTGCAGGAATCCTTCTAATATACTGGAATGAGGCCCGGGTGCCATACTGATAGGAAACATCACACTCATTGCTCCCTTACATCTGTAAGCCCGGATTGGATACCCCAGGTACCTATTGCTGGCAACCATAGACTCTCCCTGCTTGTCCACCATTCCTCTCTTCATCATCATTCACTTGGATCAATCCACTTAAAGCTTATTTCTTGTTGAGTAGAAAGCACCCACCCTTTCGCTGCCCCTCTGTCCTCACATCCGTCAGGTGGTCATAACTTCATAACCAGATGTCTGCTTCAGATGTTTTGGAAACCACAGGTGTGTGTGGAGTACGGGAATCGAACCCTTGAACATCAGTCTGGACATCAATCCAGTTACTGGCTGTGGACTTCAGTGAGCTAACGAGAACTGGTGTCACACACTCTCCACCCCACCCCACACTTAAAAATATTTATAATTTTTTAACTGCGTTAAGGTAATCTATTCGATCATAAGCTATACTTACATATTACAAGTGTTAACAAATTATTTATGGACTCATTAGTAGGGCTGGGCACACTCTGACTTTTTTAAAATCGTTTCATTCCGTTCTAGAAGGAGGGTCTTCAGCTAAATCGTTCTGTTCTCATTCCTCTTTTTTATCGTTCTTTTCTCGTTCCGTTCCGTTCCGTTTCGTTCTGAGTAGAAGAACGGTCTTCTTGGTCTGTTCTGTTCTTGGCGTTCTTAGTTGAACCTCTTGTTCTGTTCTTAATCAAGAACATTTCCATCCCCCGTTCCGTTCTTAGTAACGAACAATTCTAGACAAAAGTGTTATAGAAAAGAGTTGGTTAAAAAGTAAAAAAAAAAATACAATTTTTTAATAAAAAGTTCCTCACGGTCGTAAATAATACTTTAAATTATATATTCTAAATTTAGGGTTAAAAGAATAAGCTTAGATAATTTCTGAGCTGAGCAATGTATAATTTTGTGAGAGAGGGGATCGTCCTAATATCCTTAATATGTACAATATACAGAAGTTAAACTGAAACCTGCTGTGTTGTCTGAGTGTTGTCATTTTAGCAGAGACTGGGAAAGGGCGGGTTTAAAGTGGGGGAGGGGAGGGGGGTCAGGTAATTAAATCAAAAAATCTTTTACTATTTCTAGAGAATTTAGAATAAATTCCTGATTTAAAATGCGTTCCCAACTTAGAACGAGTTCTTGATAATAAGAACGCGGTAACGATTTTAATCGTTCTTTTCAAGCAATTCCCTTTCCATTCCGTTCCGTTCGTTTACTAATCGTTCCAATATTTTTAAGAATGCATTCGTTTTTTTTCCGAACGATGGGATCATTCTTGATCGTTCCGTTCGTTCTAGGGAAAGAACAATTGTTCCACCAGGAACACGCCCAGCCCTACTCATTAGACACTTCCTCTTAATACTGTGGTGTAAGCTTTAAGGGGTAAAGAATAGAGATGGAAACGTTTCTAACAAAATATCTTTATTTTCATAGAATTTATTACATAAATAATTATATCAAATGTATGTTTACACTGAAAGCAGTATTTATTAAAGCTTTTTTAATGAAACTTTTTTAGTTAAAGGCAAAAGTAGATTTTAAAGTTTTTCTTATATGATGTAATTTTACTTAAATGGAATAAATGAGTTATTTATAGAGTGGCATGTCCGATGTATCTTTAAAACCTTCATTTCACCATCGTTTCTGAAGCAAGAAATGCATGAGTCACTTTGTTGAGAAACCACAAATGAAAATAATCAGTTTTCAACATGGGAAACATGGATATTTAATGCAATACTGATCAGACAAAACTTTGAAGGGTATAGTGTTGTGAATCAAAATTGAAATTATGTCTGCAGTCATTTAAAACCTTTCAATTAATTCTATTTTAATTAAACTTCTTTGTAGGTTCTGAACTTTGAAGAAATGATTTTTAAGAAAAGAGAATGAAAAGCTTTAAAAGTACTGCCTCCAAAATTAAAAATCCTAGATTTTTTTTTAACAAATCTCCAGATGTAATATGAGGGGGGGGCACGCAAAGGGGGGGCCGTGCATCCAGGGCTCCCCCTCGTGCGCCCCTGATTTTATAGCCTTAGTCTTTGTATGATCAAGTATGAATTAGATATCCATGTTTTTGTTTTTAGCAATCTATCCTCATTTGTGGTTTCTCTGCGCGAAAAAAGCACATTTCTAACTTATAAGAGAATTTCAAATATATAAACACTTTCCGAGTCAGAAAATGACCTTATTTCCACTTAAAATTACGCCTACAGTCCCTTTAATGCTACTTTGTTCCGTTTGTGAATTATATTAATTTTTACTTTAATCATTTAATTTATATTTGACTAGCTAAAGGGCCCGGCGTTGCCCGTGGAAAAAAAATTAAAAAAAATATTTTTAAAAAAATATTTCGATTTTTTTAGCCTATGACACCCCCCGGCCACCCATGGAGTGTCCACAAAAAAATTCAGCCCAATCGGTCCAGCCGTTTGGCTGGCTATACGCTACATATCTATGAATGTCTTGTTATATTATATAGATAATTCATTTTCTATCAAATGAAAATACTTTTCTCTGTTCATTTTAAATTAATTTCTTCTTCTTCCGAGTTGCTTTCATTTTTTAATTTCCAGTTAGTTTTAGATGTTTCCGAGTTGCTTTCATTTTTTAATTTCCAGTTAGTTTTAGATGTTTTCTTGTTGATTTCTAGCTGATTTCCAGTTAGTTTTAGATGTTTTCTTGTTGATTTCTAGTTGATTTCCAGTTAGTTTTAGATGTTTTCTTGTTGATTTCTAGTTGATTTCCAGTTAGTTTTAGATGTTTTCTTGTTGATTTCTAGCTGATTTCCAGTTAGTTTTAGATGATTTCTTGTTGATTTCTAGCTGATTTCCAGTTAGTTTTAGATATTTTATGGTTGATTTCTAGCTGATTTCCAGGTAGTGTTAGCTGTTTTCTTGTTGATTTCTAGCTGAGCCTGACTTCCAGTTAGTTTTAAATGATTTCTTGTTAATTTCTAGTTGATTTCCAGTTAGTTTTAGATGTTTTCTTGTTGATTTCCAGATAATTTTAGTATAATTCTAGTTGATTTCTAGTTAATTTCTTGTTTAATTCTAGTTGATTTCTAGATGATTTCTATATAATTTCTAGTTTAATTCTAATTGATTTCTAGATGATTTCTTGTTGATTTCTAGTTGATTTCCAGTTGATTTCTTGATGATTTCTAGAAAATTTCTAGTTTAATTCTAGTTGATTTCTAGTTGATTTCTAGTTGATTTTTAGTTGATTTCTAGTTAATTTCTAGTTGATTTCTAGCTGATTTTTAGTTGATTTCTAGTTAATTTATAGTTGATTTCTAGTTGAATTCTAGTTGAATTCTAGTTAATTTCCAGTACGGGAGAAGTTTAAATTGTTTTAGAACTTTAGAAGTTACATGTTAAGTTGACATGATTCATTTTTTTAAGAAAATTCAAACTCAAAATTGAAATAACCACAATTCACACAATTTTACAAAAAAAATAGATTTTTCAACGATTTTCAGGGACCGATACAGGGTTTAAGTAAGGGGGGCGCAAGATTTCTTTCGGAACCAAAAAATCCAGATTTAGGAACAAAATTTTTTTTTTAAGATAGGTATTTTTCTTGTTTTGCATTAGGTTTTCTTTCCCTTAAGTGCTATTGAGAAGCTATTCTGAATCCGTCAGGGGGTGCAAAGGTCCTGCATCCCCCCCTTTATCCGCCCCTGACGATTTTTCAAATAAATTAATCATCTGTATGGTGCTGATCGTTTAAAAGGGACTGTAAGCGTAGTTGTATGTGACCCTCCCTGCAAATATGGCAATGTCTGATTTACAACGGTACCCTTTAAACCTTTACTTTATCAGTAATGTGGTGTAACTGGGTGCTTCTGTAAGGGGGGGGGGCGCACCGAGTGAAACGAAGTGAACGAGGCGGGGGGGGGGTCGCAGGGGGGAGGGGTAGTGCCCCCCTGCAAAGAAAAAGCTTGATTTCTCAGTCTGAAAAACTAACAATTAATATACCATAACCCTGTAAAGGCTGGGGGGTCTGAATCTATGTACAGCCTGGGGGGGCGTTTGGCGCCCCCCCCCTAGAAAAAGGCCTTAGATAACAGGTATAGGGTTAAAATGCATGTTCATAGCCCAATTTTTCATGACCAGCTAAAAAAATTATACCGATAACTTTCATAGTTTGGGTGCTAAGGAGGGTGGAAAAAAATGCATAAAAAGTGTAAAAAAATGAAAAAAATATTTTTTATTTTAAACAAATATCAAAGTGTGACACATGTTTCTACATGCGCTTTTCAAGGGCTATTTGAAAATATAGTTTTAGATCTGTAGCTTTAGTCACAAAAAAGTTCTGGGCTATTTTTGATTTATTTTTCCACAGACCGGACTTTTTTTCCGACCTGTACTTCTACCCTATAAATAAAAAATAAAGAAATTTAACAAAAAATCCTTTAAATTTCTATTCATTAAAACGTCACAAAATTTCACGGTGATAGTTTCAAAAATGAGAGTGCTAGGACAAAAAAAAACTACGGGGGGCGCCAAATGAAAGAAAGAATTAAACAAATTAAAGTAAATCATTTTCATTGTTTAATTAATAATTATATATCATTGAACCGTCGTCAACACAACATTTGTTGGAACAAATTAATCTTTATTTGCATGTATAAAATACATACATGTAAAAAAGTAAAAAAAATCTAGACTAAGATTTGCAAAATGAAAGAGGGCAGATATTGTTAAATAATTGTTGAATGAAGGAGCAATTTAAAATGATCACTTTTCGCAATTGTAAACATTGATGTCTAATTTCATGCTTATGGAACAGACAAAACTTTGAGGGTACCGTTGTGAATTGGGTGAATTGCCTCGCAGGATCCCGCTTGAAATTCCGTTTACAAGCTTCTTTAAATCCCTCCTCGACCTTCTAATCCCTATATACCTAGTACCAGTTAATTGTATAGCCTGTAGTCCCTGTTGTAGAGATTACTAATAAATTCCGCACAAATTAATTCATATCTAATTTGAGTTTATTACGTCCCCGGGATGGTTGTGGATGTGTTATACCTGAAACCCAGGCTCTACTTTCAGGCACCGACGGGACGGTAAATCACCCGTACTGTACAGGATTTTCACAAGATACTTTTCAATGAGTTAGCGGACTGTTTCGGGAATATCTGTTCCGAACGACCAGGGCAGGCTGGACCTGGGACAGAGTTAAATAATGTCCCGTACCGTCGGCCCTGTCTGCCCTTCCTCTGGCGAGATTTAGACCCCTGCCGTAGTGTTTAACACATTCAGTAGCCGACTAGCTGTGGAGGAGAGTGAATACTAATCAAAATAGTGAAATGGTGAATTATCCTGTTAATTCATTTTAAACCAAGTTTTAGTTCTAACAAATAAAATGGGAAAGGAAAAGGGAAAAAGTGTTGGAGGTGGTGGGAAAACAGGAGGCGTAAAAACGAGTAAAAAGTTAAAAATAAAAAAATGCGCGGGAGTTGGGACAAAATCCCGGATGAGCAGTAAGGACACTGGGAAAAGTTTGTGTAAGGGGGGCAAGCGTAAACTAGAGGTGGCGGGGGCGGAGAAGAAGGTGGGAGGAAAGAAAATAAAAGTGGAAAGTGAAGTAGAAAGTGAAACTACAAATATTAAGTATAAAAATCCAGATACTAAGAAAACAACAAGGGAAGATTGCAAGAATCAAATCAAAAACCTAAAATAAACTTTTTTTTCAGAATAACAGGATTTGTATAAATTAAGGAACTTCGTGTTTTTTTCTAATACATATTAAATTAAGGGCGTTAACAGAAAAAAAATCTATGAGGGGGGCAATTTTTTTTGCCCCCCCCCCTCTAGGAGCTCCTAGGGGGGGGGGGCTAAACAAAATTTGAACTGTAAATTCAAAACATTTCGCTTCTTGGATATCAGGCATAAGTATAAGATACTTTAAAGGTACACATATAGTACAATTACCTTGCAAGCACTACGTTATCTCTTCTTCAAACAAAACTAGCAGAAAAAAACATGTTTCTAAAAAATCGACATTTTATTATGTTGCTAAGTTAATTTTTAAACTAGAGATAGTAAAACACATTTTTGAAAATAAAAACTTAACTTAAACTTAAATTCTATTTGATGCAAAAAAGGACAAAGGTTCAGAAAATAATTATTACTTGTTAAGGTTTCTGTTGTGGAAAAAAAGTAGGAGTACAATTGTAATGTATATGATAAAGTTTTTCAGTTAAATGTATGATAGGTCTAGGGGGGGGGGGCTTGCCCACTCAGCTGTATACGTTATACGTTAAATATTTAGATTTGTAGCAAATACCTACTCCATAACAGTTTTTACTCGAGACGTATCTATCCAGGTCTACTCGTTCCCAAGATCAACCAGAGCTGGGAACTTTAGATTGGTAAATTAATCTGGAGATTAATAACAAGAGGAGAACAAGCATTATTTAATCTGGAGATTACGAAAAAGAGGAGATCAAGCATTAAACCCGGTATCCATTATTCAAAAGTTTCCAGCTCAGGACTAACGCTTCGTTCCTGAATGCCACAAAGGCAATATCGAAACCATGCTTAACTCTCAGGTTTCAAAGGACATACAGTCCCAAATCTCAACCAGACTTAACTGCCTTGTTATAAAAGCCACACAGGCTATAGAAATTGCTACACAGGCAATTTCTCAACCTGGCTTAACTCCCCGGTTCTGAAGGACACATGGTCCAAATCTCAACTCGTATAATTCAACGAGGACCCAAGCTATCTTTCAAGCTATATTCGATCAGATTGCCAATTATCAAGGCAGTATCTCTACTCGTATATTTCAACGAGATCACAAGCTATCCTTCAAGCTATATTGGATTCAATACTAAATCAACTAGCAAAGATCTCTGCTTATAAACTAGCAAAGATCTCTGCTCGTAATGTTTCAACGAGTCTAATACCGTAATTAAAGCAGAGTGTCAATCAACTGATCTGGTTTTCGTATTTCATATTCGAATTTGGTTATTTACAGCCTAATAACAAGGTATGAGCGGTTAATGCATATACGTATTAAATCACATTTATGGTATGACGAAGTTCTATCTATCTATGAACCTGGAATGGGTTAATCGCATAACAGAATTAGCGTAGTTACTAAAGAAACAAATTACGACGTATATTACATTAGGCCCCAAGTTTTGCTACAGATTTAACCAAACCATTTAAATTTCAAGGACAAGCTAAACTGAATTCAGATATTGCAAGAACTGTAAAAGTAATTTCAAGTGACCTGCCATTTAATGAGAAGATCCATTAAAACAACGGCATGCCAGATTCAGAAAGGTATTCTTGAAACCTCTGTCTGATTATATCAATGAGGAAAATATCGTCATTTTTACATCTTGCAATAACCATCGTTGTCAAATATTTCTGCAGCACAAGTCCGCAAGTCAGATTTTTAAAGAATGCCATAATTTAAAATTATCAATTTCAGCCAGACAATTAAGGATCGCACATCAAAATAAACCAATTGACAAACAAAGATTACTACTTTATATATCTATTTTACCTTAATGAAATGACATGGCTATTAAAACAAATTTTAATAAACTATGACCATTTCTATTCACAATTCAGTAGTTCAGAAGTTCAGCAGTCTAAAAAAAAAACAATGATTTTAGGTTTTTATTGGTCCAGTATATGATGTAAACCCTAAAAGCTACATTTCCAATTCTTACCTTTTCTTGTTTTACCATATTTGTATCCTGAACTCTAAATTTAGGATTATTTATTTATTATTTATTTAGGATTAGGAAATTTAGGACTTTTTATTCCATATAAACCTATTCACCTGCCCATTTTGGCTCCTTACTTCAATGATTTTCTTGAAAAATTATCCCTTTCCCCTTCCAGTATGTTAGCGATTAATTTTTTAAAAAAGTTTCCAAAAGGGAGGAAAGTCCAGTTGAAAAAAACTTTTTCTCTCCCCCCCCATTTTTTTTTATCGAAATTCATTTCCTTCTGAGGGGCGAGGGGAGGGGGTATCATCTAAAATTAACATACCCCTGCAGTCAATGGTCTGTTTTAGAATCTATCTTTTCTACATATCCGTTTTTTCTCTCTCTCTACACACAATACATACTCCCAGTTGTCTGTTTCCAGCCTTACCTCTGAGAAATATTGAATGATGTAACCCAACCTGAAATTCATCCAGATGGAAATTAAAAATAATATTTTTGGACCGAGAATCGTGACTCGAGCAATCTCTAACTGCAGGGGAGTACATGACTCCAACAAATCCGGGAAACTTTTAAGAAAAGTTGGGAAGAAGGATAAAGAACCGGAAGTGAAACCGGAAGAAAAGAAGATTATGAAGAAGAAGAGGAAAAAGATTGATAAAGGTATCCTGGCCCGAAGGAAACTTGAAAGGTTAGTTAATTGTTTTGTTGTAATCAGTAAATATTAAAGATATATATGCATTTTTAATTTTAAATTTAATCGTTTTTTTATCAAGCTTTGTTAATTTAAACCCAGGTTATAATTTTACTCTTACTTTTTATTGATTTTTAATTTGCTGCAGCTTTTTTTAATCTAACAGATTGCATTATTTAAACTTATCAAATCTTCGGTTTCATTAAAGCGATTTTGACATCAGATGCTTAACAACTTAATTATTAGTTTATCCAGTTTTAGAAAGAGAGAGAGATAAGCATATTTATTGAAGTCTCTCCCCCCTCCTTCTTATGAATTGGAAAAGGATTTTTATCAGCATTAATTTTAGTGAACATTGTAAACACAGTTCACCCAAAATTACCACTTAACAATATTTAAACACATATAATCTGCCACATAGTATCCAAGTCAATAAAATCTGCCACAAATAGTATTTTAGTCCGTAAAATCTGCCATAAATAGTATTTTAGTCCGTAAAATCTGCCATTAATAGTATTTTAGTCCGTAAAATCTATAATAAATAGTATTTTAGTCCGTAAAATCTGCCACAAATAGTATTTTAGTCGTAAAATCTGCCACAAATAGTATTTTAGTCCGTAAAATCTGCCACATATAGTATTTTAGTCCGTAAAATCTGCCACAAATAGTATTTTAATCCGTAAAATCTGCCACAAAGAGTATTTTAGTCCGTAAAATCCGCTTTAATAGTATTTTAGTCCGTAAAATCTGTCACAAATAGTATTTTAGTCCGTAAAATCCGCCACAAATAGTATTTTAGTCCGTAAAATCTGTCACAAATAGTATTTTAGTCCGTAAAATCTGTCTCAAAGTGCATGAAGTCTGCAACCCGCCACAAAATCTAATTATTCAATTTCTTATTCAGTTTTAAAAATTTTATTTTCGCCAACTTTTGAAGAATCATTTTTTGGGCTCTTATTCCTCCAAGTTATGTTTCAAGTGCAGTCTAAACGTATAAAATATATATGGTTTGCAAACTTGAGTGCAAAACTTGGCAATAGTTGTGCATATTATATATTTATGTTGAGATACAACTCAAAATCTTGCATTCTTCAAACTTTCAACAGTTTTGGGAAAATAGTTAGGAAATGATTTGTTGAAATAAAACAATAAAGTAAAGCAAATATTTAGCAATATTTTTCTAGTCCCCTCTCAACCACTCAACGCCCCCCCCCCCTGGCCCTTCAGGATAATTTTTTTTATCAAAGTTAGGATTGAAAGAAAAAATTAAAATTTATGTTACATTATAGATTTACTATTCCCCCCTCCCCCTCCGTACATACAAACATGTATATTTTGATAACAAGGAAATATGATCCCAGCGCGGCGTCTATTTATTATGTTTATTTTTAGCTTTATTTTTTAATTTTTCCACTGTCTAAATAAAAATTATGTTATGAACTAAATTATTTGACTCTTTACTGGGAGTTTTAAACAAATGCTACTTTCTGAATAGGGCAGCTGCTAGTTATGGTTTAATTTATAAAACATTTTATAAGTTTAACAAACATCTAAACTTTTAGAGCATTTCGCATTTCTATTAACAATTTTAACTTTTAACCATTTTTGCATTTTTTTTTGCATTTTTTTGGACAATTTTGAGTACTTATCCTTCCCAACGAAGTAAATGAGTTTTATTTCCTGCAGAATCATGTATTCCTTTACCCCCAAGCGATATGTACACTGTAATTATGTGTATTATTAATATTAATAGTTCTTAATTGATATTTGGATTGGTAATTCATTCATTCAATAATTCAATTCACAAACCGGTTTTTATTCCTTTGTTTTTAAAGGAACATTATTAAATATATATTACATTATTTTTTTTATGAAAACTTGAAATCAGAACTGTAGTATCCTTCATCTAGAACGTTTGATCTCGATATCCAATTTGGGAACTTTTCATTTTGATGATAAATGTTTGATCCTTCAATTTAAGTTATCCCTGCAGGGTTGACCAGCATGGGAAAGCGGAGATAAATCCTAGAAAACCGTAGGTCAGCTTGATCCCTGGGGTTCATCACACAAAGTTCTGACTTCTAATTAGATTTAAAAAAAGATGTCTTGTTTCCGATTTATTTCTGTGTAAGAAATAATAATATTTAAATCAAATCCTATCAAGGGACAAGGGAAGGGGAAATTGTTTTAATGCTCTGAAGAAAAATGCAAAATTGGAGTTTAAGGATATGAGAAGTGATTCTCTATTTAAAAAAAAGCAACATGTTCGAATCACAACGGTGTTTTCTTATCTTGAAATGTATTTAATTCTGATAATTGCTCCATCTTTTCTGAGGCAAGAAACGTGCAGATAACCTAAGCAGAGAAACCACAAATGAAAATAAACAGTTTTCAAAAAGAAAGCTTTCACTATTGTGAATCGGACAGGCCAGAGCTCTACTAAGTTTCAATGAACAGTCACTTAAATTTCGTGTACAGTCCTTTACCCCCTCCTAAAAATCACCATACTTTGATTGGCAAAATTTAATTTAGAAAAGGGTTGTTTTGAATTTCCTTTTTTAACAAAATAGAAAATAGATTTAATCTAAGTTTTCAGTATTAATGTAAAAGATCAAAGAGAGAAGAAGTAAATTAACTTTTTTGTGTTAAATGTTTTAATTTCTTTTTAGGTTTTTATTTTGTTATACTCAATTACCATCCAAATTCCTTTTTATGCAATAAAAGTTGTCAACCTTCCAGAATTTAATCGAAGGTATCTGTCTAGATTTTTTCTTATTTTTGTATATAATGGATTTTTGAATAACGTATTAAAGGTTACTTTGACTTTCTCTTTTATGTATATAATATTGACCTTTAGTTTGTTTACATCCAATAAACGTTGAAACGACTGAACCGATCGGTGCCATTTTGATTGTAAATCTACCAATAAAACCAGAAAACTGTGCGAATGGCTTGCGGGAAGATAAACAACAAAAAGCAACTTGTAACCAATAATTTTTAATCTTTAAGGATGAAGAAGGCGGGTTTCCTCTCCCCGCCTCCCCGCCGTTCTGCCGCCCTGAACGCCTCGGCTATTATGAATTGTATGATGGATAGCTGGCCGAATCATCATCTCAAAATTAAGGTAAGGTTATGTTATTGTTCTTCACGTGCGAAAAAGATCTAAATCCATATCATTCGGTTTGCTAAACCTATTCAGCTTTCCTTTTTTATCTTTCTTTTAACCTTTAATCATTTAAATATTTTCTCTACTTTTTATAGTCGAAAATGACCCTCTATTTATCGAGTGCAATGTCCGATTAAAACGGTACGCTTTTAAACTTTGTATAAGAAAGAGTGAATGAGATATCCTAGTTTTTCGGTGAAGAAAAATTGATTTTTTGTTTCTCCGATGAAGGAAAAATGGTACCATTGTGAATCGACATGCCACTCTATAAATAAAATTAAGATTAAATAAACTGGACCTCCCCATCTCCCCCATCTCCAGCTCCCCCCTCCCATCTCTATGGACCAGTGTTTGGATTGGATGGTGATGCAAATTAAATTTATACTCCGCACTTCTCTGATTAATATCTCAACTGCCAAGGATCATCTTGCAGATTTATTTGCTAACTTTAAACTCTGCAAAATTATGTAACGTTTCGTCAGATTAAAAGGATATAGAAGTGGTTTAAGGAATTGAAGGAGTGGAAAATATATTAGAGAAGTGATGAGAGTTTTGGGAGTGCAAAGAAGTCGGAACCGGAAGAATGGGACAAATCGGAAGATGAGTAAAATGGGATTTATTTTAAGTATTGGGAAGATTTAAATGGAAGATATTGAATAGAGGGAAGATGTTAAATATTGGAAAGATTTTGCATATTGAAGAGGATTTTGAATATTGGAAGGATTTTGAATATTGAGGAGGATTTTGAATGTTGGGAGGATTTTGAATATTGGGAGGATTTTGAATATTTGGAGGATTTTGAATATTTTGGAGGATTTTGAATATTGAGGAGGATTTTTAATGTTGGGAGGATTTTGAATATTGGGAACCTATTCGATCCAAAGTTTTGAGTAAAGAGGTTAACTTCTGTATAGTATTCTGAACCTATTCGATCCAAAGGTTTGAGTAAGGAGTTCCACTTCTGTACAGTATTCTGAACCTATTCGATCCAAAGGTTTGAGTAAAGAGGTTCACTTCTGTACAGTATTCAAAACCTATTCGATCCAAAGGTTTGAGTAAAGAGGTTCATTCTGTACAGTATTCTGAACCTATTCGATCCAAAGGTTTGAGTAAAGAGGTTTACTATTAAACTGTATATAGTATTCTGAACCTACTCGATCCAAAGGTTTGAGAAAAGAGGTTCACTTCTGTATAGTATTCTGAACCTATTCGATCCAAAGGTTTGAGAAAAGAGGTTCACTTCTGTACAGTATTCTGAACCTATTCGATCCAAAGGTTTGAGTAAAGAGGTTTACTACACTGTATACAGTATTCTGAACCTATAAGAAGTAAAAGAACGTGATTCATCTTTAAATAAAAACTTATTTGAGGGATTTTTTTATTCGATATTCTGAACTGAACACTTCATTTTTCATCTTTTAACCTAGTTTGAAAGAGATGTGTAGAGTGAAGGTAAATTCAATTTATATTCTAAAAATATTTAGTTGACGATTTTAAAAATATTTTGGATGCATTTAAATGGACTGACGTTGAAATTTCAATAGACTACATTGTAAGAAGTTCGATTCATCATTTTACATTGCAAACCTCTGTTAAAATTTTTGGAAGAAATTGTGGTTTTTCTAGATTTAAATTGTGTAATTCTGACAATTTTCTCCATTGTTTCTGTAGCAGAAATCTGCAGTACACTTCAACAGAGAAAGCATACTGGAAAATAATCAAAATATGAATTCTCATTCTTTATTGAGCAATCAAAGCTTTTTAGGGTATTGTTGTGAATCGCAATGTCAATCTATAAATGTCGAGTAACATAAAATAACGCGCACACAGTCCCTTTAAAAATTTGACGTAACATGCCATAAAAATGTCTGATTAATATTGATGTTTAGTAATTTATTATTCAACATTTAATATGTATACACTACAGATTAGATTCTCATTGAGCTATATAACCATTTTTACAGGACTGCAGCCTTGTCCCCGGAGGGAGGGGGTGCAGGGCCGCTATGAGCCCCGCAAAATGGTCTTCGAGCCTCTGGATTCGCAGATGAGTATTTAAAATCACCTAGCGCTTTCCCTATCCTTAAGAATAGATATTATAGAAATATGTCAACAATTTTGTAGAAAAAATATTTGATACTTAAAGTGTTATGCAATGTTTTTGGGTATTCAAGAAAACACTGCATAACTTTAAAATTCAGTGATGGTGATGGACCAAACCTCTGTAGAGTAAAAAAGTAGATGTTAGTTCCACATTTATTGAAAATTTATTTCGGTCTGGGTTGACCCTCGTCAGTTCTTGAGATTGTTTCTTTACAAAGATTAAAAACATTAAAAACACTGCATAACTATTTTTAAAGATTAAATATTTTCATTAAAACATGTTATTTATTACTTCTATAATATATATCTATTCTAACGATTAGGGGTAGCGCCAGGTCATTTTAAAGACTCATCTGCGAATCTAGAGGCTTAGAGGCCATTCCGCGGGGCTCATGGCGGTCCTGCACCCCCTCCCTAGTCCACGTCAAAACATATTTGTCTAAATATATTCAGATCCCGCAGCGCACTCAAGGATATTTATGCAGTCAACGTTTACAGTTTTGCCTCTTCAACTATTTTAGAAAAATTTCTCCATTTTCTGCAATATTTATATTGACCCTAAATCACATTTCGGTAGGAAAATATTGTAAATTTTGACCGTATTTGCCTGTGTGAAAAATGTGGATTCTCTGGGATATTTGCAGGGATCATTTGATTTTACTCCCCACTCCTATCCTTCATTTATTTCAAGCTGAACAAAAAAACTTAATTTTTATGAAAAAAATTGTTAAAGGGACTGTAGGCGGGATTCCAAGTCACCTTCCACGCAAGGTGACCATGCCCGATACACAATGGTACCCTTTAAAGCTTTGTCTGATCAAGTATGAACTAGGACATAAATGTTTATAATTATGATTATTTTCAATTGTGCAGTTTCTCTGCAAAAGTGACTTGCGCATTTCTACAGCAAGAAAACATAAAGGAAGTATCAGAATTAAGCCTAAAAAAATGACAATACAAGTGTACGGTTGTTAACGGGCCCTTGCCATCTGTGCATGGAAGATCACAGTCCCTTTATGCTTTAGAATATAATTTACTTGTTCGTATCAAATCAGAACTGAAGGTAAAAATAATAAATAATATTAATAATAATAAAGAAATAACAGGGAAAACTTAGATTTATCATTGTTTAAAATATCAAGGATAATCCTAAAAACAGGATATTTCAATTTCCCCGTAAAATATTTTTCTAAACTGAACCCACCTTTGATCCCTGGAATCTTGACGTTTTTGAATGATTGGACTTCAAACTCAAGAACTCACAAATAGGCTTACATGCAGTGCGCGTATAGGCTTGGAGCTGACAAGCATATGGTTCGCTGACAGGCTGCCCATGACTAGACAGCTAGACTAGACCGGGTCAACTTTGAAGTGTCCCAATACAAAACCATACTAATTCACTCTTATTTTTGTAGTCATATATTAACATTTGATTGTACAACACTCCTGTTTTCAGCTAAAGTTTAAAGGAGTAATTGGTAAAACCCTGATAGATTTGTTCATCCTTTGGTTGACTGTGATGCCAACAAAATGCGGATATTGCTGATTTCTTTCATATTCTTTATCCAAAAAAGTCAGAATAATTGTTGTCTTTGCTTTCTAATTTAATTAAAAAACTATGGATTTGTTTTTGTAAATTTGTTTCTGCAAATATGTTCAGAAGTCGGAACTGTGCTGTGAATATCGGGATAATTAAGGATTGATGTAAAAGTACCCAAATTGGATATCGAGATAAAGCATAGAAGATTATCAAAACTTAACACAAAGTTCCAACCATTTACCACTTTTATAGAGAAAATTAGATTTTTAGGTTTCAGTATTTTCTCCAGTATTGTGGACAGTTTATCTGTATCATTTTAATACAGTAGTCGGCCTTTAAATCAATACAATAAAGACGACTTTTAGATTTAATTTTTTATTTTTAAAGGGAGTAATTGCGAAAAATGAAAGGGCTTATGAGTCGCTTTTAAGGATTTTTTCCTTATAGATGCAACAGTTAGAAGTAAGATTAGTAGTAATCAAAAGCGCTTATTTTTCACCCTATGCCTAAACCCTCTTTATTTTTTCGCGAACACTCCCTTTAACAAGCTTTTTTCAAGTTACAAGTTTACACGCAAACAAAGAGAAGCTGGTTATTGACAGTGTCTCTTTTTATCTTCGTTAATGTGTATCGTTGTTGTTGGAAAGCTTGGTAAAAATAAAAAAATTGATATCGAAAGTCGTTTTTATTGTATTAATATATATGACGATGACTGTAGTTTGGTTTCTTTGATAAATGTCTATTCTGTTTATCAAGTTGTTGAATTGCCAGATAAAAACCGAGCTTCCAGATTCTTCTCCAAACCAAACCGAGCCTCTTCAACCCGAGGCGAAAGAAGATGCAAAACCATGGTTTGTACAACCCGTTGTACAGTCCACATTAACTACCGTACATACAGCTATTGTACAGAAAAATAACACCTCAGGCATGGGTTTAAATAACATTTTATTGCGACTTTTTTCCGACTTTTGAAAATGTGTTAATAATGAAACAGAATTAGACTGTCATTTTTGTAAAAGTATGAAATCCTTGAAAATTAAAGTCGTCAGTTTTTTTCATTAAATCCCCTTTTATGCTTCGAAATTCATAAAAAATATTACATTTTTTAAGGATTTTGAGGCACGTTTTAATTTCGACGGGGGGGGGGGGGTTCAAGTATTCTTGATATCTCTAATGCTAAGAGTCTGTAAGATTTCTTTATTTTCCCTTGGCTGCATCTATACATCATTAGTCCCCAGATATATAATATATAATATATCAGACTTGGATTAGGTGGGGGGGGGGATACAGAGATGTTTGATATTATCAGATAGATGGATAGTTTAGGGTTCTAGAAATGTCAAGTAATGGATCAGGAGAATATATCGAGGAAGAAAATCATTTAATCAAATATTGTCAAAAGAGATAAAAATAGAGACAAGGATTGAAGAAAATTACGAGAAAAAAGAAAGAAAGAAAAAAGTAAGAAAGAAGAATGAGAATAAATGTAAATGAACGAGTAAAGAAATGCGAGGAACGGAAAATATAGAAGAAAAAAGAGATAAAATAAGATTATAAATAAAACTTGAAAATAAAAAAGTGAGAGTTAAACATTATATCGTTAGAACTGAAGAGTGTCAACCCAGACTGAATTGTATTTCCAAAAAATGTGGACCTAACACAAATTTATTTACTCAGTGAGGTTAGGAGCATCATCTACACAAAATTTAAAATTTAGAAAAAATCTTAAATAGATCGCAGCAATACAACTTATAATCTACAAAAGCAAAATAATATTATGAATATTAAAGTATGACGTGTCTAAAATATTGCGGATAATATTAAAATATATAATATTGCACCTTATGCTTGCATCATATTGTATTGAAATAAAACAGGTCGTAATCCACGCATGAGAGAATGCTTTCAAGCAGTCGGCCTGGGATTCAGGCAGCCTTCAAGGGACTGTATGCGATTTCAAGTGACCCTTAATTTATAGCGATGCATGACCGATTCACAATCGTCCTTTATTTGATTGAAAAAGAGAGCAAGATATCGTAGATTGTTCTTTTTTTCGTGAAAATATTAAGTTTTTTAAAATTTTTTTTATCTCTGCTGTTACATATCTGCAAGTCATTTCAATAGAAAACTGTAAATGGTATCACGCACCTCTGACCTTTTAGTAAAAGTAAATTCAACCTTAAGTCTGACCGCGTCAACCTTGTTGCACCGGCTAGTCTTATTGAGTGTCTGCTTTACTACCCAATGCCCAGTCGATACAGTACAAACTGGGACCGGAAAGATTCACCCGGCTCGGAAATTCAAATGTACTACGGCTGCCCGTGGTATAAAACAATTATAAATATTAGATAGAAATTTTTTTCTGTGGGTACCATTTGGAATCGAACATGCAAGTGCAACCAATAGATGGTTACTTGAAATTATGTCAATATTCCCTTTATGTACCGTTACACCCAGAAATCAGTGAAAGTTATGAAATATATTTTATGAACATGAAAATGAAATATTTTATAGGAAAATAAGTTGTTGTGTATGGAGTATGAAAGTAAAACAAATAAAATGTTAAAGTATGGGACGGATTGAAAGATGGGAAATCTTTGTCTTTTTTGCACAGCAGACAATGACGCGTCTTAATAATTGTTTTGAATCTTTATGACAGAAACAATCTCAAGAACTGACGAGGCTCAACCCAGGTCCCATGGACCAAAATATATTATCAATAAATTTGAAACTAGCATCTACTTTATTAACTCTTTCGATGTTAGCTCTAGTATCAAAACCAAATTTTAAATAAGCTTAGCTAATCGCCATTATTAAAATGAATTTGAGAGTGAAAGAAAGAGATGGGAGCGCGATTGTTAAAATTCTTTAAGAGAGAACCCCATATTTGTTAAATAAATGTAACAAATAACCACAAAGAACTCCGACCCCTCCCCTTTTTTGATGACAAAGCATATTTCTTTATTATTCATATTCATATCTACTGCTTAGCTGTCAGTTAGTTTATCAGCATAAAGAAACAAGGGTTATTATATAATCTCTTATACAGGGGCACTCTCCACTAAACTCCACTTTTTCTTCGGTCAGAGTACTGAAAATCACTTTACTTAACACCGAAAGCTTAGTTGAGGGCGTCCTTAAAGGGACTGTCTGCGTAATTTGAAGTGATCCTTGGTAAAACAAATAACTTGTGCAGAGGAACCACAAAATAATCCATTCATCAGTTAGAAACACAAAGATATCTTAGTCATCCATCATCAGAAAAAAACGTTTTATAGGGTATTGTTGTAAATCGGAGATACCACTGTAAAAATGGAGGGTCAGGTCCCTGTTACATCCTTTCAAGTATTTATTTGATTAGTATTATGCATCATAACAAAGTTCAAATATTTTTAGAAATTAAAATGCTAACTTTTAAGGGTTAATTCTGTTTTTTAACAAAGTTCCTTGCATTCCAATTCTTTTCTTTTGACTAAATCATTTGATCCAATTACAATTTAACTTAATTAATCTGCCGGTTTGAGACTTCATCTTTTATTAAACTGTGAAACTATTTTCACTCTTGTATTATTTCAGGTGGAACCGCAGGACTCTGAACCCGAGGATTACATCCCAACTCACAAACATAAAATAGAGATTGACACAAAACCTTCCACGTCAAAATGCGCAGAGTCCAAACCCTTAACGGTAAAATCTCTAGATGCCAAAATCTCAAAACTTTCCGAGGAAAATTTACCCAAGGAGAAAAAATTGTCCAAATCCACGAAAATTGTGAATAAACCCAAAAATAAATCTACCGGTGAAAGATCCCGTTCTAAAGAAAATCCGGAAGAAAAGAAAAAGTCCGCGAAACTTAAATCTGTGTCAAAGAAGTCGGCAGGTGATTCCACAGATTCAGACCTGGACAAGTCCCCGCGTGCCACCAAACCCAACCCGTCCGTACAAAAGTCTAAAAAGGATCGATTAACAAAGAAGAAGAAAGAGAAGAAATCTAATAAAGTAAAGGTAGGTCATTGAAGGGATTATAGACATAATTTAAGTACCTCCATTTTTAGAGTGGCATGTTTTATTCACAAGGGTTCCTTTAAAAGTTTTGTTTGATTAAGAATGTATTAAAAATTGCTTACTTTAAATTTCTGTGAAGTGAATTGCGCATTTTTGCTTCAGAAGCAATGGAGGAAATGTCAGAATTGATCATATTTTAGCAAGAAAAACGACAAATCTTCCACATTATTGATCAGATAAAGGTTTAAAGGGTACTATTGAAAATCGGACATGCCCTACTTTTTTATTAATGTTGCTTAAAATTACAAAGACATTCTCTTTATCGGTATTTTTTTATAATGTTCGTAAATATCATTATTTGATTGCATGTTGCTTGAAATATATATTTTTATTTATTTTCGACCAATTGAACAATATCTGATAAATGCCAAGCTGATTTTAATATTATTTTTAGAATTTTCATGAATTATATTATTAGTGAGGTGGAAGAGAGAGGGGGGGGGGTCTATTTTTCTTTTTAAGTTTAAACATATGTTTTTGACACAAACCAGATTAAATAAATCGGATAATGTTGACATTAAGCTGTTCTACACATAATTGGTTTAATTATCGTTGCTAGAAAAACAGTTTGGAAACTAGCGCAGTGAAAGTTCATCTCTTTGGGAGAGAAATAATAGAATTACAGTTTCCCAAGATGACAGGGGGCCCCCTTGATGGAGAAACTAGATAAGAAGCAACTTAAACATTACACTGAAAGTGTACGTAGTTGAACTGAGACTGCAGTTTTATAGAGAACAATTTTAGGATTAATTTGTTACCAATATGAGATGTATTTTCGGTGTATATATGAGTTACACAGCCGGTCTCTCCCTTTAAGGGAGAACTGATTTTGCCCAAAAGTGAATACACAGGAATCATGATGGGATATAGAATAAAAAAAAATATTAATAAATTGACCAATATTAAAAAAATATATTTAGGTTGAGATGAAAGATTTGATTGTTGGACGAAGAATGGCAAGCATGAACGCTAGTGCCATGATGACCGCTACTTACGGAAAGGTCAGTAATCTATAAAGAAAAATAATTTATATGGACTGTCGAGAGTTGAGGTCAGGTGATCTCCTTCTATAGAGGGACATGTCTGATTCATGACAGTTACTTTTAAACCTTTATCTGAGTAAAACTTTCGGAGATATCCTTTTGTTAAATATGAAAATTTATAATTTTCAATTGAAGGTACTTTATTCGAGTTACTTGCGGATTTATGTTCTAGAGAAAAAGAAGTAAAATAACAGAATATTTTTTTTAAAAGCACGGATATTTTTCTCAATGTTAATAAGATTGCATTGTCGTTAATTGCATCTTAAAATGGAGGTTTATTTGAAATTACGACTAAAGTACCGTTTAAGCTTGAAAATAAAAATTAAGACTTGGAAAATTTCGGTTTAAGAGGAATAGAAATGGAATTATTTATTTACAGGAAACGTTTAAGCGCACTGCTGATCCTTTGAAAATGGCAATAGAAGCAAGCTTGCGCGAGGCGCGCGAGAGAGAAATGCTGGTCAAACCGGCAACCATAGAAACACAGGAAAACAACTTGATAAAATTCAGATTTTGTTATTTATATTTTTTTGAAAATACAAAAGTGTTTTTCTAAAGAAATATGGCATCAAGGTGAAAGCAACACAACAACTATGTCACGAGCCGCAAGCCCTGGGTCTAATACTGATTTAGAAGTCACTTCAGTTTTCGACACGGATGGTTGGATATCCCTGAATTCACTTGTTTAAAAACTTTAAGTTTCTATGCCTATCTTTGAAACCTGAGGCCGAATTTGAAGAATTTGAGCCGTGGCTTGAATTTGAGACGCGGCTCAATTGAAACCGGGTTTTGGAGGATTTGAGTCGCGGCTAAAATTTATTAAATTCGGACTCGGATAGTGTAAACCGTTGATCTTTAAAACTTTGACTATTAAATCAAGTAGAATCCATTGTTGGAAATATCAAAGGCCTTCGAAATCAGACTCGAAAGATATAGCGATCAAAAAACCTTAGATTTTGAGTTTATATTAAAAAGCACAAATTATTCAACAATTTCGATTTTACTCTTTTACATTAATAACCAGGCTTTTCGCGCCAAATTTCTGTATAACGATTTAGCTCTTAATTCGTAACTCTTTGTGCTCTTTGTGCCATTTTTCGCAGATTTTTTTAGTTTAAATTCGCGCATTTTTAAAAATGATAAATGGTGACTGTTTTTATCGGGCAAACTGCAAAACTTATCATCTTTAACCATACATAAACCTTCCCTGGGGTATGTGAGTTACCACAATCAATAGGTTCAGTCCTTTTGACGTTTTTTTGGATACAAACAAACAGACAAGGAAAGTATTTAATATATAATTTTTTACTTAGTTAAATTGATTCCGTACGCTGAAGTTTCCAAAAAGATACTTGTTAACGTTTAGATAACAAGTAAAACATCAAGAAATACAATTTGAGAGAATCCAATTAACCATCAGCTTCCTATTTAACGATCAAAGGGGTTTCTAAGAAATGCAAATTAGTTTGTTTAAGCTGAAGCTGTTTAAAGGAATTATCGCGGAAATGTCAGGGAGGTCACAATGATCTAAAGGTTGTAAGCTTACACGCAGAAATCAATGAAAATTTTGTCAATTACTTCATGACAACAAAAGCAAAATAGGAGTGGAGTGCTTAATGTTCTAAAATGTCGAGGCTACAAAAAAGAATAAGGGAGTTGGTGAGCTAAAATCAGATGTAACACTTCAAAATCTTGAAAATTTATGCAACTTTTTATAGCAGTCAGGTTCTATTTGGTACAGGAGAATTAAAAACCTTATTTTCATGTCTATAAAAGGTTTTTAAATTCAATTTTGAGAAAAATAGTTCTTCATTCCCCGCAGATATATGGGATACTTCATTTTCCGCAGATCACGGGCAGCCGTAGTACATTTAAATTTCCGAGCCGGTTCATTCTTTCCGTTCCCAGTTTGTACTGTACCTAGCTCTATGGACAGGACTAGCCGGTGCAACAAGGTTGACGTGGTCAGACTTTATGCTTCATATAGGTTGAATTTTCTTTTACTAAAGTGGCAGAGGTGCGTGAGCTACATGGGATAAATTGAAAAGAATCCGTTAACCCTTTTTACTTGTCGATTTTACGATAAAGATTTTCTTAATAAAGTTCTCGTTTGTCTGATATATTTCTAATAAATCATGATATTGATATCAATCAGAAAATGATAGAATGACGGAAGGATCGTGCAGAGTCTTACTCGGNCTGGTATTCTGGTATTTTAGGTATTAATGTCTGGTATTCTGGTATTTTAGGTATTAATGTCTGGTATTCTGGTATTTTAGGTATTAATGTCTGGTATTCTGGTATTTTAGGTATTAATGTCTGGTATTCTGGTATTTTAGGTATTAATGTCTGGTATTCTGGTATTTTAGGTATTAATGTCTGGTATTCTGGTATTTTAGGTATTAATGTCTGGTATTCTGGTATTTTAGGTATTAATGTCTGGTATTCTGGTATTTTAGGTATTAATGTCTGGTATTCAAAAATCAGGAAATCAACACTTAATCCTGAATTGAGTTTAATAAGTTTTAATTACTGAGGTTTTATGATATCGATTCTGGATCAGTAGTTTCGTGGAACCTAAGCCCTGAATACTCCAGAAGAAATTCTGCGCCTATACATTTTTCGAGATGTACAATTAAAAAACAAAGGATTAGACTTCAGAGACGATTGTACGGAATTTATGTTGTTTGTTTCGTATATTCATGATTCTCTGCAACTGTAAACTTATTCGTTTCTTTGCCAAATCATTAAATAAGCCATTCGATCACTATGTCTAAGTCTGAATACATAATTTAACTTTAGGATCGTCACATTTTAAGAGTTTCCGATCGTACAGTCATCTCATTCTTTGTGGCTAACACTGTAATACAATATTGGAAGGAAAGTAAGTTATGTATCTTCAACTTTTTAACTATTTGAAATTGGTGGATGTGAATGTGAATGAATAATGTAATCTCTGTCTGGCTGTTTGTATGTCCGATCACAACTTAGGAAGCACTTGACCGATTTGCTTCAAATTTAGATTGGGGAACTCGAGAGAACCACGGGAATGTTATTAGCTTGGTTTGGGATTCTTAGTTAAGTGGGTCCACTTTCATGGGAATAAAATAGATACAATCGTGATTTACGACCAAGCGCGGGTAAACGGCGGGAGTAACCATAAATACCCTGGGCAACGCTGGGTTCTCAAGCTAATACTGATTAAAGTATATGAAGTTAAGCCAGTTTTTTTAATTACTATTTCCTGATTTGACGTAATTTGATTTTTCC